AAAAAAAAAAAAAAAAAAAAAAAGGTTCATTATTTATTTTATTTTATTTTTTATTTTAAAAAATTTACATCCAAATTAGTTAGCATATAGTGCAACAATGACTTCAGGAGTAGATTTCCTAGTGCCCCTTACCCATTTAGCCCATCCCCCTTCCCACAACCCCTCCAGCGACCCTCAGTTTGTTCTCCATATTTGTGAGTCTCTTCTGTTTTATCCCCCTCCCTGTTTTTATATTATTTTTGTTTCCCTTCCCTTATGTTCACCTGTTTTGTTCATTATTTTTAAGTCACTAAGTTCTGGGCAATTTGTTATGCAGTCCTAGTAAGTGGAAGAACTGCGGATCTAAAACGTGCTTATTAAATGAAAACATTTAATATCTGAATTAAATAATATCTGAAAAGCATAACTTCATCATATTTTTGAATTACAAACTGATAACTGGTCATTGTATGACCAGTGCTATCTATGAAAAACTGCATATGGTCCTTCCTCCCTCCTTCCCTCCTTTCCTTTTTCCTTCCTTCTCTTCTTACTTTATCCTTCCTTCCTTCCATCCACCTATCCATCCATCCAACTGTCTCTAAATTTTCCTCTCCACAACTGATTTATCAGAAGATTTATCAGCATGTCATCTGGTATTTAGATAGAAATGAGGCTGCAGGCCATTTCTGGAACTCATATCATCACCAAAAACTCAGGTGTACTACCTGTGATATTGAATTGTCTACAATAATTTGGTATTGTTGTTGCTGTTACTGATATTTTCATGTATTTTTGCATGTATAATGTCTTGGGAAAAAATTAGATTTGGTGTCAAAGGACCTAGGTTCTTACTTTAAGATCACCACTTAATAATGGTGATGGGCCTGAATTACCTCATCGGTAAAAGGAGGATAAAACAATTAACTCACTCAGTTGTGACAAGTAAAGGGTAGAATGTGTTTATTTAATTTAAATTTAATTTAATTTAATTTAATTTTTTAAATGTTTATCTATTTATTTTGAGAGAGAGAGAGGGAGAGAAAAGAGAAAGCACGCCCAGGAGCAGGGGAGAGGCACACAGGGAGGGAGGCAGAGGGAGAATCCCAAGCAGGCTCCACGCTGTCAGCACAAAGCCCATTGTGGGGGGTCCATCTCACAAACAGTGAGATCATGACCTGAGCAGAGATCAAGAGTTGGATGCTTGACCAACAGAGCCACCCAGATGCCCCTATGTTTATTTTAGATCATCTAAGAGAAGTGAAGGCAAATACATGTTCTCTTTAGTGCTTCAATAATAATCCAAGTTGGCAAACTACAGATCACACCCACGCTTCCCTTTGAAATTTATCTCTCAGACAGAATGACCATCGTTCACATTCTAATTTGAATGAAAGAATTTGTGACTGTATCCATAAACACAGGAGACTAGGAGTAGATAACCTCAGCTAGTTTAGACTAGGATATAGGAAATAGATTCTCAAGACATCTATCATCTATCTATATGGAGGGAAAACACACACACACACACACACACACACACACACACACACACCAAAACCTCAAATTCATTGGAATGTACTAGAAAGGAATGAATCAAGATACTCTTAGCCTAAAATATCTTATTATTCTTTGCACAACTTGTGCATTTTCTTTGATCTTGAACCTAAATCAGCCACTCTACAGTCTTAGTATGTATAGAGTCTAAATTTTCCATGAAGGGAATGTTTATTTTCTCTTGACAGACTGACATCTGTCACAAAGCATAAGCTAATAGCAGTAAAATCTAGTAGTAAATTTAAATACTATAGGCATTAAAAAAACAAATTTATTTTCTTATTCAAACTTGTTTTCATTGCCCTCTCCTCAATCAATTCCACTGAACAATTATTTAAATTAATGACAAATGTAACTGGCTGACCAAAACATGAAAAGCACAAATATTTTTGTTGATAAAAAGTTTTACCAAAACCCTTTGTGGAACCTGAAAACTGAATACAGTTTCTTTAATAAGAAAACTATACATTTCCTTGTAGTAGCATGCACCCATTTAGAATTTTGTGAACTCCATTATTTTTCTCTTGTCGAAATCTTGTTAGAATTATGGTTTTTCCTTTGAGGAACATTCTTTTTGGTTCATTTTATACTGCGCATGAATTCACTTCTTATGCCTACCCTGGGTCATGAAAGTAAGACCAATTTATGGGAATCACAAACTGTAAGGGGGAAAATCCACAAAATCCTTTGGGCCTTTAATTACTGATTTGTCCAAATGTACTTTTCCCTGAGTTAACATTTGGGGAAAGTATGAATTGGAGAGTTTTCATGCTCTACCTCTCCCATGTAGTTCATTGAAAAAACATAATTACATTGTTCAGTGCGGCTGGAGACCTTAGAGGTTCGTGTCACGTGCATATTAAATATGCACAAATATGTTTCTAACACTATAATATGGTCTGAAAGACTGTAGTGTGGTCACAGCAATATTCACCCACCAGGAGGTGGTGCACTTTGCAAATATTAGTTGTTTTATTGCTTTTCTTAGAAAGAAGAAAATAATTTGCAAGAAGCTTTTAACTTATCTACAAACCATTCAAACTATATTTAAATCTGAATTCCCTTATCTCTTTCACTGGGAGGTCAAATTCAATTCAAAATATTTAATTTCATCAACAATTCTAAATATTGCATACTATAACAAGTTTTTAGACCTGAATTTCACTTTAATGTTTTCATTTGTTCTGTAACATTTTTTTTCTTATTTTTTTAGTTTTGCTTACCCAGTCTGGGAAGTTTTACCTGATCTCACTTATATAGTTTTGTTTATGCACGTATTTCTTGGTTGAACCTTATGTTAGATTTCATGTGTATTTACAAAAGTAATTCAGCAACACTCAAAGGTGAATATAAGACATTAATACAATAGCTGTGGTAGTTGAGGGTACATATGCTTATGTAAACATTCTGAGAGAAAAGAGGGCTTATAATTTACGTGGTATAAAGCATTTGTTAGATGATGGCTGTAATAATGACATGAGTTCTATCTTCAATAGATACGCATAATGTAGTTTTGATGATACAAGTGCTACAGTCTCCCATTCTATTTACAAAAAAATTATTTTATTTATTCTTTTAACATGAGGCAAACTCCATCTTCCTAACATTCATAAAATGACCTGCAGCTATTTGCACTCTTTCGGGTTTTTGGGAGATCTAGCTGTAATTCAACGTGATACCCATGAAAAGTTGATATATACTAATAAGTTCCAAGATTTCCAAAACTAGCACAGTAGTTCTGAAGTCACGCTAATAAGGAGTTCATTTAAAAACTTAACTGGGGGCGCCTGGGTGGCGCAGTCGGTTAAGCGTCCGACTTCAGCCAGGTCACGATCTCGCGGTCCGTGAGTTCGAGCCCCGCGTCAGGCTCTGGGCTGATGGCTCAGAGCCTGGAGCCTGTTTCCGATTCTGTGTCTCCCTCTCTCTCTGCCCCTCCCCCGTTCATGCTCTGTCTCTCTCTGTCCCAAAAATAAATAAACATTGAAAAAAATTTTTAAAAACTTAACTGGATTGCCAGGATCATAAGACC